GGGGGCGGCTGCGGGAGGTTCTCGCCCAGGTGCAGCAAACCCCACTGAACTTTGGACTTTGGAGTCGGCTGTCTGTGGTCTAGGCAGCAGGTGGGATTTGTCCATTCGTGTTTCCATTAATCCATTTTCTTTCTTCATTCACTCTCTTCTACTCACTCACTCTTACACTCTATACCAGGTTCACCAGTCCACCAGCAGATTCTCTGAATGAATTTGACAGGCCTAGCCCTCTAGGAATTTAGTCTAGAATCTAGTCTAGAGACTTTTTTTTTTTTGAGTTGGAGTCTCACTCCGTTGCCCAGGCTGGAGTGCAGTGGTACACTCATGGCCACCCCAGTGTCGACCTGCTGGGCTCCGGCGATTTTTCTGTCTCAGCCTTTGAAGTAGCTGGACTACAGGCGTGCACTACCACGCCCGGCTAAGAGAAAGAAATATTAATAGCTCCATGTTACAGACAGGTGACACAGAAGCCCGCAGAAAAGTAAATTCCCCAAGAACAGATACACTCATTGATGAACTTTTTACTTATTCCTTGCACTCTTTTTTTTTTTTTTCTCCGAGGGATGAAACGGTATTGTTTTGTCACCCAGGCTAGAGTGCAGTAGTATGGTCTTGGTTCACTGCACAATCCACTCCCAGGGCTCAAATAGTTGTCTCTCCTCAGTCTCCTGAGTTGTTGGGGATTACAGGTGCGCACCACAGAGCCACTATGCCCGGCCTCCTTGCACTCTTTTATTTTTGTTAATCAATTTTTTTATTATGATTTTGTGGGGAACAGTTAAGGGTTAGGTGTACAATTACGTTTCCCTTGCACTCTTTACAGTCGTCCTTAGTTGTCTTTTTGTTTGATCTCTCCCCCCCCCCCCGCCCCAAGGGTCGTGTTGTCTCGTCCATCATAGCGCCTGCCATAATTAAAAAAGGCAATTATGGGGAATAAGTCAGCAGTTTAAGGCAAAGTTTCAACGGGCCTAAAGACTACGCAGGCAGATTGCACACGTGTGGGAAAGCACCCTCAACTCTCCCCTTCAGCAACCATTTCTAACAACCGCTGTAACCGAAAATGTAACTATGCGCCCCCTTAGGGAAGATCAGCTGCCGAATAGAATGTAGGTCACCCAAAGGGGCGCCCGACTCCGGGCCTTTCGCTTGTTAAGCCCAAGTAGCCCCGGCTCATTTACTGTGCCAGGGAGGGAGGGTCCTCGGAAGGTCCGGTCGGCTAGGTTCCCTAGAGACGTGCAGCAGGGCGGCCACCCCGGGACCGGAGCGCGCCCCGACCGCCGGTGCCAAGCCTGCGCCGAGGCCCTCGGGGCGGGGCTGAGGGCGGAGGGGAGAGAAGCGGTTGGCCCCAACGCTCTTCCGGTGCCTGGGGGAAGGGCGAGGGCCTAAGCCCCGCCCCCTCTGGGGCGGAGCCACGGCGCGGGACTGGCCCAAGCAGCTGCAGGTAATACCGACTGGTGCTGGGGTCTCCGGAACCAGGTTCTAGTGCAATCCCGAGCAGGGGAGGCCGCAGTCTTTAGCGGAGTAGGCCCAAGCCAGGTGGAACGATCTGGGGAGGGCCTTCTTGGGCTCTGGCCCGTCCACTTTGACCTAAAAGAACCAGCCTGTTCTCTCCCTACACGGTCTCCTATCCCCCTAGAGCTGCCACGTGGGGAATGAGGCTTGGGGGGTGGGGGGTG